AGATGAATTTATATTAGATAAAAAAGAATTGCAGATATATTATATTTCATTCAAAATTAAACTCCGATTCTAGCAAAGCTTTCATTCCAAAATCAACGAGTTCAACCCTTCTAGGCTTGCATTTTCCATAGAATTTATATTAGAAGAGAATCACAGATACATTTGTAAGACGCAGAATTTATAGTTGTTAATGAAGATGAATTTATATTAGATAAAAAAGAATTGCAGATATATTATATTTCATTCAAAATTAAACTCCGATTCTAGCAAAGCTTTCATTCCAAAATCAACGAGATCAACCATTCTAGGCTTGCATCTTCCATAGAATTTATGTTATTGCGGATATATTGCAAGGAGTAGAGTTTACAGACGATAATGAGAATGGAGACGCTAATTGACTTTCATCAGAAATGTTCCGCGACGTGAAAGCAATTGTCGACGCGCAACTAATTGTTCCTAAAAATTTGCACACGCAGAATGGCAACGTAATCACTCGCGTATCAAGCAGCGACGACAACGTTGCAAATAGACGGGCGAAAGTAGCCCAAAGAGATAAATTTTCCTGGTCTACGATTCTTATTACCAGTAACCTGGTTTGTGAGAAAATCCATTGGAATTCGTATGTCTTGCCTCATCGAGGGGGCATACATATGTATAAGTATAGTTGATACCAAACGAGTAAATATTTTCCCAAGAAAACGACAAGGAATTCAGGAAATCAACATTCGAGACACGTTGACCTACGACGTAACGATGCGTTTTATTTGCCATTTCAAATTAATCGACGACGTTTTAAATGCCTCTTTCAGAAATACGTAAAGTTCACTTTAACTATTGAAACATTTTTCATCCCTTCTGGATCTCTTAAATGGAAATGTTTAAACATACAAATGAATATATAATAAAATTTAGTGATTATTAATTTATTCTAAATAATTTTCAATTTTCTCCTTGTCAAAGAATGTCTCTGAACCTTTTGTTTCTCTCACTTAATATGATTATATTTCACAACTTTAGCTTGTTAAATCATAGTTGCAAGAAAAAAATAATTTCAAGTACGGTCTATAGTCTCCTGGCACCGTTTCGAAAGCAATTGTATTCATCTGTAATACCATGTTGGTTCTTTGAATGCAAAGTACGTTGTCGCCATTGTTGTTGAGTCATCACTTGTTCAAATAATGCATAATTACTCGAAAGAGAGTGATAATAAAACGGAATAAAATTCGAGTCGTATCGTGATTATTTCTGAAAAATTGAAAGTAAATACCGATAGAAGTTGGTTGTTTTTTTACGTTCTCCATGTATGTACTAAGTCAATGTAGATTTACTGTAAAACTGACAACCTTTCCGTCAGCTATGCAAATGCTGCGTGCAAATATAGCGACCAATAGGAATGCAGAAAACCAGTATGAAAGTAGGTGACACGCGAGATCACACGAATTATCATACGTAATTTCCTTCGTCGTGTGCGCGTAATATCCTTCGCGTATAATAGCTCCTGAACGGAGCACAAATACGCCATACTTAGTACATTCATTGTGTCGTCGACAGTTTCTTCATGTAACGTAATTTGAATTATGTAATAGGATATTTGGTAACCACGAATAAGAAGCCTCTTCTTTATTCAGTTATCGGTGAATATTTTTACAGAAAAAAGTACGATTAGAAAAAAAAATATATATTATAACGAACAAGGGATGAAATGCCAAAAATGTGATCGTGAAGACTCGATTGTTTGATATTACGCACATGTTACAAAATCTCTGTGTGAAAAGCAGTTATCTTCAAGATTGAATACTTCTAATTGAAGATAAATACGAGTAAAAAATTGTTTTCATATTTCTCGAGATTAATTCTTATCATCGTGGCGTAATAGTTGAGGTCAAGATCATTCTAATGATCTCTCGTAAAATGACTTATGAAAAATACGAAAAATCCAGAAATCTATGAAAATAGAAATTTTTTTCATTTTTATTAAAATGAACAAAATCAACTCAATATTAAATTATAACGAAACTCGACATAATATTAAATTTTCATTGTAACATTAAATGTTTTTCAAGAAGGCACCTTTCGAGAAGTTTGAAAACCACTGTGAGACAGTTTTCATCTACGGAAGAAGAAATTCTTCTTGTCGATAACGTCATTTTGTTCTTTGTTATTCTTGAGTGGGTCGAGTAAATGCTCTGATTTACTTTAATTCTTAATCTTCATTTTACCATCTTTATTCCCGTTACCATATCACGCTTCTGCGCTCGTTGCCATTTCTGTTCCTAATTTCAACACTGTTCATCGACCCGCCTTATTCGAATCGCTGTGCATAGATAAAATTACATTTCAAAATATATTATTCATGGTCGCTTTAAGAGCATTAGATTTTCTTTAACACGTAAGATCGTTGTGCATACATTCCGACAACGGTGCATAAACGTGTAGATCCAGATCGATACGATATAGACGGCTGCCAATTGATACAATTTCCTGAAGGGGTTCTACAAGGTCAAAACGTAAAACCGAATAAGCTTTGTTATTTGGTATCCATCGCGTCTATTGTTGTTTTCACCCAGACAAAAAAAATAATCAAAGAGCAAACCAAAATTTACTATTTTGTTTCAGAAATTACATCGAATTTGATAATAAAAGTCGATTTTGTAAGTATTATAGAACAATGACAGTATTATTTATTATACAAAGCTAAATAAATTCTAACAAATTCTTCGTCACAATTCTTTACGATTTTTATTATTTTACACATGAAGATTCAAAAATATTCCAAGCTAATTACTAAAAACAAAATTCTATTATTACCTTACGAAAGATATCTATTCAAAGATGGCTGACGCAAGGTTAAGTATAGCCACGTGTTAAGGGTTGCAGATACTTTTAAAATTGTATTGTTATAAAATATATAAAACCAGAAAGATCAGGAACAATTCTTAGTGCATAGTTTCTGCCATTGAAGATACGAAATATTTTATTTAAATTAATTTCCAAACTGTGTATGCCTAATCAGCCAGTGTGAAACTGTGTTGTTTAAGCAATCGAAGAGTACAGCTGGTAAGTTTGGGAAAGTTTCTATGCTGGAATACCGTTGGACGTTGCTGCTATTGGTGAATGCACTGCAAGTGGTATTGCCTTCTGTAGTAATGCCTCTCGGTGACCTTCGATTCTTCCAGGTGATTGGCAGCTTTAACAGTACGTACATAGCTATAAATATGATTCAATCGTGAACAGTTACGTTAAACGTTACGACACCCGCACGCGTCGCGAGCAACGTGACACATCCCGTGCAAAGGAACTATGGAATATCGGCTCGCTTCCGTTTTACCCTTTGCGACGACCACGTGGAATTCATTTTGGCCCGGAGCCCGACATACGCATTGCTACCGTGTCGCTACAATTATTTTAGAACGGCAAAAAATATAAATCAAACGCGATCGATCGAACAACAAAACGTTCCAGGGTCTTCATTACACAAGCAAATTTATATAATCAATTTGAACGGTTCCATGCTCGAGTCTTCTTCGGTGCTATGGAAAGAAATATTTATAAAACTCATCATAGAAGTTTCACTTTCAAATTACACTTTAATATATTTTTTTGCTATAATCAATTTAAAGGTTTCATACTGCCATTTAGCAAGGAATATTTATGGAAATTATTGTAGAGATCTAAGTATTAATTTTACTCTAAAAAAAGGAGACATTAACATGGTCTGTGGAATAGGTAGCCTCTAATATATTTTTTACTGTAATCAATTGAATCGTTTCAATATTCGAATAAACTTGAAAGATCGAAAAAGTGCGTGATGCGTTCAACGTGGAAGAGAACAGCGTTACGAAAGGTTAAAAAACATCCAGTTCCTAGTAATTTAACAGAAGTCAGGCAATTAAGTCGTCCTACATACTTGTACGTTGCGGTGAGAGGCAATTCGATCAAACTCACCTTAACGAAAGTTACACGAACCAACCAGTTTAGGCGCGAAAGTGACAGCAGTTCAAAGGAATAAATCCTCGGAAAAGTGCATCGTTCCGATTCTGTACGTAAGACGTCTGCGCTGACACATTTTCTGATTAATAAATTAATCTGGTTTGTCAGGAAGGATACCAAGAATATGAAACTTGAAAGGAATGATATAGAAACACGAATTTATTAGTAAAAACGACAAATAACTAGTGAAAAATGTTTTGAACAAATAATTGATACTATAACAAATAATATTTTTGATTTTATTATAAAAAAGAAGGTGGTCCTAACTATTAATGTTTTTTAGTATTCTGTACACTTGTGTAACACTAAAAAATTGTTTCTTTTTAACATATCTATTTGTATTTACGCAAGAAATTAACGAAATTTTCTTGAAATTCGTTGTCCATCATACTCCTTCAGCTTGCATCATTAATTTTTTAAACTTTATATTTAATGGTTCAAAATACACGAAAATATGGTTGGTTCTATACCTGCGCAACTCACTGCATGTATTAATAGAGAACACTCAGGAGCTAAAAAAAAATTTAATTCCTACAAGGAAAATGAATCTGGGCAGGATCGATGAACTTCAATGTGATTACAAATATAAGTATGCACGACTAACCCAGTCGCTCAAAAACAAAATTTGTTCTGTCAGTGGACACGTTAAAAGAGAAGCGAAGTTGTTTGGAAAAGACGGCAGTTACCGATGTAACGGTGATAGAAAAGATTTAATGTCGAACCGTAGGTAGAACCGGCCATAACGAAACACGACGTCGAGCCCGGCCGTAGGACCGCAAGGGGTGAAAAGATCGAAGGACCAATTAACGGCACTCGTTCCTCCCGCGTAGCTGTATAGTTGGCGGGCAGTCTAGCCGGGGGAACACCCTAAATCGTCGATACGCGTCGCGTCGATAGCGCGAGCGCACGGACACACTCACACAATCGCTCGGCCCCTGTCTCTCGCCTCTCGTCCGGCGTGGCATCGCATTGTCGGCGCAGACGCCGTGCCAGCGTTTATTGATCGCGGCTCGGCGGTGCTCGGTTGTCCCTGCACGCGTCATGCGTCGTCGTCTTTCGCGACGTAGCGACGTTGCTGGACACAACGAGGTCTCTCTGTCTCTCGCGGTTTTTTCCGTTCCCGAGTACGAGGTACCGAACGACGACGGTGTCAGTGACGGCGAACGCGTCCGCTAATTCGATCCACAGTGCGCGTAGTTCTCGCGTCGACCAACGGTGTATCGATCCATCGAACATCAACGGGGACGAGATCGAGAGACACAGCGAGAACAGTGCGGGCGCGGACAGCCGGCTGGTCCATCCGCTCGAAATCGAAAGGATCCTCGGGCGAGAATACGCTGCTGGGCAGGTGGTTCCCGAACGATATACACACTCGCGATCGTTCTTTTCACGTCGAGTGAAAGTGAACCGACCGTTCTCGCGTCGGCCGGATATGCACGGCCGACAGGTGCGTTCGTAGACAGTCCGGTGCGCAGACCGATACTTCGTAACGATTGGTTCGACCGCGGGCCCCGACCATCGCTCGACCAATCGCGTACGTGCATGGTCCAGGCGGCTGATTCAGAACCCCGTCGACAATCGACTTTCGATACGGCTACCCGGCTCGACGAGACACGAGGAGGACCACCGGACCTCCAAGAAGGGAACATGAATCTACTGCTATCGTCCTCGATACCCAGCAACAGTGTACGCTGTCAAGTGCAGGAGCAGGCCAATGACAACATGGAGACCGACGACAATATGCTTCAGGGTAAATTTCACTGAAAATATCGTTTTGCCAGACCGTATGGTTTCTTTAACCGGGAGAGGGTGGGTTCAGAATTTTTCTCGCGACAATGGGATGCTGCGAGAAAGGACGAGTCCGAAGCAACGCCTAACCAAAGCAGATCGATGGCGTCAATGCTAGAGCGAGTTCAGTATTTTTATATCTTTCGTTATACCGAGAGTATGTAGTATCGATCGATCGGCGAGGTTTACGCGATAAGAATCAGTCTAAACACGACGACCTCGCTCGGACTATTTTTAGCCATGTTAATCCGTTGTCATCGACTAAACCTCATCGACGATTAATAATTTTGCATCGCGATGGTACAACGAAAAATATAAATTTTCTTTTTTAACGTTCCTATTCGCGGACAAATATCTCGAAGCGTATCAAGGGAAAAGAATTTTTGTCAATTCGTGGGCGGTGTTTAAACAATTTCTTGATACGAGTCCAAAACGATTTGTCTATTGAATTCCGTTTGCCACGCCGATACGCGAGAATGGTCGCTTCGAAGTTATCGTGCTTCCGATTCCATAACGCGCGGCTACACGTAAACGACGACGGAGGGAGGATTAATTTCTTTAATCCGGTGTTAAAATACTGTCTTAGAGCAAGGAGTTACTGTACACTTATTTCAGGTTCACGCTCAAGGTCGGTGCAGTTGCAACCTCGCGAGTCCTCGGAAACGAGCGAGTTTTCGTCGCTGACCTCGAGACGCGATCGATCACGTCCCGAGAGCGTGCTCGTGTACGTTGACACGTCTGTGTTTCCGTTTCCGTTTCGTTTTCCTTCGATCTAGAAAATGTGCACGGAGAATTCTTTTTCATTTTTTATGTACGATCTGCGCCCCGTTCAGTCCCCGTCGTAGTTCCACGCGAACGACTGATAGTCCTGGAGGTATTGACTCATCCACACGGCTTCCGAATCGAATACTTACTGCAGCTATGCGGGATCCTTGAGTGCACGCAATGCTCTACGTGTCCTGCTTCTGTTAAGCTTCGCGTGAATAACCGGTTACCATAAACGAGCAAACTTCTTATCTACGCAACAATTTTAAATAACAAATAAATTGTTAAGAACTCTCTATCCGTTGCTCGTTAAATTAGCTGGAAATTTCTATTACAGAAACCTTGATTGAAATTTATAATCCCTTATATTATCAACGATACGCGAGACAACCGACATTTATTGGCAGTTTTATTTTTTCAAAGATGCCACTCAACTTTGGAAATTAATTTTTAGTAACGGTCGAGTTAAACTTCGACATTGCTGCGTAAAAATGTGTACGTATTTTTTTTTCTCTCTAAGACCCACATTTGATAAAAAAATGTATTATCTGGTTTCTTATTGACTCTTGAACCTACGATCAATCCGCGTGGCTTGAACACAGACGTACGCGATAAGCTCTTTCACGAGTGATAATAACGAACCTGTTCTTTGCAAAAAAAAAAAAATCCACCAGCGCTGTTCGACTCGCTACATAATTTAACGTAAATATATTCGTGGCGATCGTTGCGGGCAGAAATTATTAAATACGTTTCCTTCGCCGTCGGTGGAACGAATTTTGATCGAAGCAACCGGGAGTCTGCGCGTTAGGCGAATCGACGAGTTTCAGAGCTTCGTGAATGTTCTTTCTCCTTGTAAGAAATAAATTACCAAACTAGCGTTTGCAAATATAAAAATATTTATCAAAGCACATAACAAATTGCAATATTTTTGTTTGCTTTTTAAAAACGATTTTAATAAATACGAATCTCTGGGTGTGAAAGGAAACATATATTATGTTTCTGCTCGAAAGGAAGTTTCAATAAACACGAATGGTTTATTTTCTGTGTAAATCCAGAGCGACTTGAACCCAGGTCATAGGATTACGTAGTAATACGTATTAGTCTTAATGAATCCCTCGGTTAGAACAAGGAAGGTTACGTGTAAGAATTTCCTGCGTAATTACAGCTTTGTGGTACCGCAGCAAATTGTTGCAATCGAACGACGTAACCTTTGAACGTGCACGCGAACATTTGAACATTTGCTCTTGACATGGATATTGTGACTGATATGTACTGGTAGTTAATTCGACGGCTGAAAGTCATTACCGTTCGTAATTACACGTGTACTTTCTTTTAACATTACTCTTCCCATCCATCAACCCTTCACATTGTTATTAATAAAATTTAAACGAAGATGAACCAAAATACGGTTCAGTGACCTCTATTATTTTTTAATACATTTTTCAAGTACGTCGACCTCCTCGAAAAATGCAATTGCACTTTTATTGAAATGGAATACCTTGTGGCAATGATATGTTACGTAAAGCAACTATTATTTAATTTTTTTTTTTACGATTAGTCGATAGAAAATGAAAATTTCAATGAAACTTTCCACGATCGTTCGTTCGAACTCGGATCTTTTGTTCGTGGATTCGTTTTTGAAGCATTACGTTGTAACTTACGCAGTAAATAAAGCACGATGGCGCGCGGATGAAATAAATAAAAGCACCGCATGATTTATGCAAATGGCTCGCACCATTACCGACTGCGTTTTGCTCCTTCCTTTCAAGACCGGGCATACCTAATGTTACGTGGCATTCGAAGGAAGTGGCCATGCATATTTATTACCTTTGCTCGAGGGTCTTAGCATACTTTTAGACAACTCTTAGTTATAAAAATCGTAAGTATGTGGGGCAGAAGTAATACGCACACTTAATGCGTAATATCCTCATCAGGGGGCAGCTTAACACTGTCTGAAATCAGTTAAACGATTCAGTAATTTGATTAAAAAATTAAAATTGATCGAGTTTCTCTTACTACAAATTGTAGTTTCGGGAGTTCATTGAAAATAAATCGGTGCACTTCATTTTTTTTTTTAAATACGATTCGTAACGAAGAAGATAAACGTTCACAGTATTTTAACTTGGATGCACCTTCTTAAGAAGAAGCGTGCGTGCAATACGAAGGGTGCAGCCCTCTCGACTGTGTTGCTACGAGACACCCTATTTGCTGTTTCCCTAAAAGTGCGAGGGTCGATAATTTCAGCTGTATAGTTGGATGTAACGCGTGTAACCTTCCAGTAAATTTTCGAAGTCTCACGAAGTTAAGTTTACAAGAACGTGACAATTTTTCTTTCTTGTAACGCAAACATTCATGCATCGATTGGTAAAGTAAAAGAATACTCGTATCAGATTCTACACGCGTGTTTTCAGGTATTAAATTTGCCTTTTGTTTTTTGAGTGTATTCGACCAACAGGATAAAATCAACGAATTTTTTTACTTTCTTTGACTTCTTGTATTGGGATCGTTATATGCATCACGTTGAATTAATAATACATCTCCAGTGTAACGGTAGAATAAATTTCGTGCAAACGATATTCCTTTTCTGTAAAACTGTTTCAGAACAATTCGTTGTTGCGTTGATCGTTACAGTTACAGGAAATTGGTTCTCGAGGAAGTGAAACCCTTCCTGTCAGACGCCACTAGACAACCTCTTCATTTCTTCTCGCATACAATGGCGTCTCTGCGCTATTATACCTAACATTAAAATTCATACACTAATTATAGTTAAAGATAAATAACGCCTGAAACGATTGCAAAGTTATTCCAAAGAAACAAAATCAACCTGTTGTGAGAGAAATAACGGTGTGTATATCAATTGCAATAAAATGTTTCTCACCATGTACGATACCGTAAAGAAAAAAATCATTGCATTTCTTTCTAACCAAACAAATTATTTTATTTCTTTGTTAATTGATGCCGTTTAGCGTGTTATAATATTACTTATTGAATGAATAACAATATATTTACGTTATTAGACATTTTCAACCTTTGTATATTGATTTTCGATCGATACGAAAAGATGAATGACTCGTTGAAGTATAAAGTTCAAAGAATAATAACAATTAAGGGCATTTGTTTAATTGTTCAGGACAAATAATTATGTAGATATTCGTGATTTTTATAGAAAATATTTACTTAGAATATTTTCGATTTTTACATTTTGAACTCGTTAGTAAAACTTGAATGTGTTGTTTAAAACAATAAATTATAAATATGAAGAAGCTCGTGGTAAAAGAAAACTATCTAAAATATGTTTTTATACAAAAATACAATATGTTAAAAACGATAGAGAATAGTGTTTTTGTTTAGAATATATAAGAATATTTATAAAACTCTATGAATTTAATTATTCATTATGCTTCTCTTTTAACGTTTCCTCTTCCCTAGTTTAATGGAATGGTACATTAACAATATGAAAGAAAAACATGGTTTACAGATTGAGATTACAAATAACATTGTGCAAATCGTGCGAGTAAGAAACAATGATTAAATATACATATGTATATTAAGTAGGAAATGTGGTGTTTTATCTGTGAAATATGAATCTTATATCAAGTTTCCTCTTACCACAAGCTTATCCATATTCAAGATTTAATTTAGAGAACACATCTAAAATTTTGTACTTCAAAGCAATTCTTAGAACGTTATTCTATTACAGGAAATACTTATTCTTTTACTAGTCATGCTGTTTTTCAACAAAATTGCTTTTCAGACTTCTCCAAATTACTTTTTATTGATTCGTTTATATCTTAGGATAACTGTTATTATGCCTGGTAAAAAATAAAAAATATGACATTAACGATGCGTAACTAAAATGGTTGACAGGCTGGTAAATGGCTGTTTAGGCGATTACCCGAGCCAGCCACCGTGCTGTTGGAAGCACAGTCAACCTCAACCATAAGTCGTGCAACTAATTTTCGAAATGCAATATTTACCTCGACGATAGAGGGAAAAATTGCTCGAACAAACGGTTCGTCGAAAGGGAGAAAGGAAATGAAACTTTCTCGCGGGAGGACGACGTACAATCAAAATATTATACATGCCTATTTCCAACCGCAATGAATACGAGTAATACAATATCTCTCTACATTGAATACTGCGTCGTGGCCAACACGAACACCATGTAAATGTGCTTTACTTTCTGCATTGTGTAGT